TCAAAAAAAAATAAACAGAACATTTAGGGCTTCATTAATAGAGCATTAACATAAGCATTATGCTATCTATTATCCAATCAATATTTGTCGAATAAATATTTAGAAAAGCATTTACCAAATGCAAATCTTCTCCAAATGTTATTTGTTCATTGCTCTCATATAGAGTTTTTGAGAGAGCATTTGCAAATAGAAAATATAAAACTTAAAAATAATTATATATAATTAACTTATTTTTGTTTTAATAATACAAAATATTTTTTAATTAAATATAAATTTATATTTTTAAAAATAAGAATAAAATTTATAATTAACTTTTTAATTTTAAAATAAAAATATTTCACATTTAAAATATAATATAATTTATATAATTACATATCCTTCATTATTTTTTAATAAAAACATAATATAATATATATTTATATATTATCTATATAAACATATTATTTAGACACTAATAAATAAATTGTATAGAAAATATTAATTTTTGTAATAATTTTATATATGAATCATTTATTGCTCTACCAATAAATAAATAATTATAATTTATATATAACTTATAATTAATTAATTGTTTATTTATTTATTAATATTAAAATATGTTATATATCAAAATGAATTCATTGTTTTTAAAATATTTTTTACATTTAAATATAATTTCTATTATGATTAAAATTTTTATTTTTAATAAAAATATATTTTTAATATATTATATATATATATTAATTTTTAAAATATATAATTATTATACTAACTATTATGACAATTTTAAAATTGTATACTGTTAATGCTCTGTTAATCACTTTACTAAAAAAATTAGTGAAAGCATACAACTTATGCAGCATACTGTTTCTACATCATATTGCTACTGCTTTATCATTTGCAGTACCAATCGAGACCTTAGATGGATAAACACTGGGATTTAAATAAAAGCAGCGTATTTTTAAAAATTTGTAGAATACCTATTAAAAATTAAAAGCATAGACTAAAAAATATTCCAATGGCATGAGATTGTAAATACTTTAAATTTTCAAAGTGACCTTAAAAAATGCCTATTGAATTTCCATTCAAATATCCAATCCAAATCATTTTATGTTAATTTAGATATTTTGACATACATTACTCAAATATATATGTTATATATTACTTTATTTTTAGATTTTGGGAAAATTTTAAATATATGATTTTTTTTTTTTTAAATAATTTAAATGGGTTATCCGAACCCGAACTAAACTCGCAAAGATCTGAAGCGAACCAAATCAGAATTTATAAATACTTGAATGGGATTAAAATCTTTAATTCCAAAAAGCCAAAACCCGAATGGACCTGAACCAAATTCGAATGGGCACCCGAATGTCCACCCCCTATCTAATCTATTAAGACTGAAGTACAAATAGTATTTACCCCTTATAGTTGCACAAAAATTACAATCTCATGCCACTGATTTAATATTTCCATGTTTAATTAAAGTAAATCAGAATAAAACCAATCCGATGACTAAAACTTTTTCTTGCACAAACCGATATCCCTTCACAAACCGAGATACAACTACGTTATTATTCGTTGCATTTAATCTGTTTTCATAACAATTGTGTGTAGAAAATAAATTTGATAAATCAACTATTTTCTTTGACAAACCAAGAGAAACAAAATATATAATCATATTGAGAAATAATTGAAGAACTTACCACGCTCTAAATCAAAAACCAATAAATACAATTATACTGATAAATAGATAACCGTAACTTGATTGTAAAGTCTGAGTTATCCAATTGTAAACCGGATTATTAATTAGATCATGCTTCATATAATCCCAAAGATTACGACCTATACAAACAGAAAAATATTTCAACTTTAACAAGCTTATTGCCCACGTAAATTTCGTGAAAGTTAATAACTGCATTGCTTTATATTTTACATTTGTAATTATTCCTAAATATTCTTAAAATTCTCTAATGTTGATCAATATAAGGAATATGCCCAATAAAATTTTCAACATTGCAATAATTAAACCTCAAACTATGGTACAAGGAAAATATTGTCATAACAAACACGTATATGCCTATCCAAAAGTATAAAAAGAGAATATTCTAATATATAAAACCTAATTTATATAGCTATGCCGTTTAATTTAGATCTTGACCGTGATTATCTCCATAAAATCTAGCTATTAAATACAAAATCATATATTCCATATTCTTTAGCGTATGTATCTATATATAATCTCCTCTTTCCCTTGCTTTTTTATGTTTAGAACATCGAAAAACAATGTGGCAAAGAAGAAAAGTTTTTTTTCTTAATGACGTGAAACCCTACAAAACCAGTTGGCGAGTCCAGTACACGTGAAGTGTCTTCACTCATGGAAATCAAACACCAATTTTGAAGGCTAATCTCTTGAATGCATTCTTTCACAAGAACAAGTAAGTTTAAAAAGTCTACATATAATTCATGTGTCGTTTAATCTTAATACAATATTAATCTCTAAGCATACAACCAAAAAATATTTATGTAAGCTATTTTTTCATGTTTAGGATGGAAAAAAATCATGCTTCTGCCAAAAGAAATCAGATGCAACACAATCTCCCTATTGGAGAATGGAGATTTATCGAGAACTTTACAGTTTCTAAAGCTGGAGGTTCAAGTATGCATCTTTAAGTTCTAGATATATCAATACTTTTTGACCATCTCTTTTTGTTATTAGTTTTTCAAATACAGTCATCCAAGTAAATAGAGATATGCAACCAACAATCTTAAGCTAACCAGAAATGATAAGGCCATCATGGCTTGCAATCCTAATTCTTAATTGCTTTCTTCTTATACACTAATCATGGTATAAATTCAACATTGCGCAAATTTAAACTAAGTCAGTATATTACTAACCATCTTTTGGTCCTGATATTTGCCAAGTATATACTTCATCGGGGTAGCCTCCAAGAAATTGATGTCACTTCTACCACAATACAATTTCATGCAAAAAAATATTGTGGTAAATCATAGACATTCATCTGTCATACTTTAAAACATAATCATCCCTGAAATATGTTTTGTATAACAATTAACAGAACATTAAACTATAAAAGTAGGATATACATTTATTAAGTATTCCAATATGCAAGTAACCAATGAAAACTAAATAGAATAATGGTAACAAATTATTCAAACATGAGCAATTTTACTAAAACTCATTCCATCTTACTCTTTAGCTAAAGACATCATTTGATCAATATTAATTGCGCTTCCTACTAGAGTGACTAATAGGGTTACTGTTGCTTGGTTACAACAGAAGTTAAGCTTCAATGGAATTTGTAAAATATAAAGCACAAGGTTAATAATAACACGGCAAGGGTCACATGAGCTTGAATATCAGACGTCAATTGGCCCGATCTATGTAAACGAACTGATTTTAGAAAACTAATCTTAACAAATCTCTAAGATTACACAGACATGCATAACATAAATCCGGTTTAGAATAAAATATGTATAAGAATTTGCTAAGATTAAGGGGTTGACTCAAAGCCATTCGGATCATCAGTTAATAAACTCTGAAATAACTTTTGGTTTCTTTTCTTTGTACATCATGTCAGACACAACATCATTTTTAAATATAGCTTTAAACAGAACTGAGACAATCATGTCAATCCGACATCTCTAATTAACAATAGTCTATGATCTTCATAATTAATCAGAACTATAACAATGAAGCCAATTTGTGAACTCATTCCATCTTACTCTTTAGCTAAAGACTTTGATTTATGATGGATTCAGAACTATTAGAATTGTCTTGCAAAGAATAAAGACCTGACATCAAGACGAAGTCCTGGAAATTAGTACTTGCAAACTGCGAACAAAGAAGAGCTTATACTGATTCGATCCACAATCTGTAACATGCAAGACGTTTTTTCTTCTTGATTAAACCGGGGATGGGCTCTAACNGATTCAGAACTATTAGAATTGTCTTGCAAAGAATAAAGACCTGACATCAAGACGAAGTCCTGGAAATTAGTACTTGCAAACTGCGAACAAAGAAGAGCTTATACTGATTCGATCCACAATCTGTAACATGCAAGACGTTTTTTCTTCTTGATTAAACCGGGGATGGGCTCTAACACATAATATAGATTAGAAAACAACTAATCATAAAAAATAAAGTTCAATTTGTAGTAATCAATAGATCTATATTCTGTCATCCTTTGAGTGAAAACTTCACAGAAGATTACGAAGATCTCACCAGAAAAAGTGACGGCACTGACAAAGATATCGGTTGAAAAAAGTCGTCGAAGTAATACATGTTTCTGTTTTTTCTCGCGGAAAAATACATATGGGCCTCAATTTTGATCGTAATAGTCCACTATTTTTTTATAAAATATGATGTAACAATTTCGAGTTATACCAAATAGGCCCAATTCAATGTATTTGCACTTGCTAAATGTAATTGCTATAAATCTTTACTTATTTTAAATGTTATTTGTGTTACTTTCCAACTAGTTTTTATTGTTGCTGTCTAAATAATTTAATTGTTTTTTAAAAAATGTTACATTATAAATTCAAATATAATTTTAATCACAACCTTAATAGTATCATATGATAAACACACACAAAAATTCTACTGTACCAAGTAAAATAAAAAAAATACAATAACAGATGAATACAATCGCATAGAATAAAAGTATACCATAAACAAACTGAATAAGATACACTAACGTCACAGCTCAATAAACAATAAATCAGTAACTTTAATGTTTTTACAACTAACAAAAAAATATAATTAAGTAGAATATACACCCGTGCGGACGCATGGGTCAAAAGCTAGTTTAGATGGATTAGTTAAAAAAAAACAAATACTTGGATGGATTTCGGTTAAAGAATGCATCTTTGGAGTGGATAGGCATCTGGGCCGGAAACCTATGGGTCGGCAGGCCCGTCTAGATACCAAACTATTAATTTTATTTTGATTTGTATTTTACTTTTAATAACCTATCGCTATCGGGTGAAGTGCAACAACTCCGTCGCTCTGAACCTGAGTCCTCGCCGGCGATTGGTAATTTCTTCAATTTTGTTCGCCTATATACCTAATTCCTAGGAAGCGTGTTTGAACTATGCGAATTCATTCAAAGCAACTGAGAAGTATTTTTAGGGTTTGTTGATCATCTCTAATAATTGCGTATCTTCTGGATATAATTTGATTGAATTAGTTCGTTTCTAGTCCTTTTTTTCGTCTAAATTAGTTGTTATCTGCAAGAGTGAAACCCTAGAGTTGAAAATTTGAAGCTCCTGATTGATTTTGATGGTCTATATGTGCTCATGTTATCGTCTTTTAAGCTACACAATACAATCAGGAACATGGTCAGATCCAGTTTTGTGATATCTAGTAAAAACTGTTTGTTTTGAATCACTTTGAATATACATGTTTGCTGAGAACTGCTTTAATGTCATGCCTTTGTAATGTATTGGGGAGTTATCATCGTTGTAGGCCATCTTAGATATCATATTATAAACTTTACAAGGCATGGGTGTTACTTTTGCTTGCATACTGGATATATATCTGCAGAGGCGTTTATGTCATCTTTCCTCTTCTTTATTGTGGTACAGGTGGGCAAAGCCTTCTTTTCCATTTTTTTTAACTGAGCTTTCAGAGAGAAAATACAGTCAGTTTCTGTTGTTTTTTGGTGGCACTGAGGGTAATACTGCTGGAGGATGGCTAATAATCCCCACTATCCTGGCATTCAGGTATGTCTAGGATTAAAACTATTGGGCATTTGTACTCTTGTCCTTCTATGTGTCGTCTGTTTTCCGCCCTCTTTGTTCTTTTACTCTCTCCACCTTGAGGCTGCTGGTTGTACTGATGTTATGATTTTATGATATTTATTTGGCATGTTGAGTATACATGGCGCTTTTAATTGGTTAGTATATCCTCACTGTTTAACAAAAATTGATGAGCTTCTTTAAAAATGAGAGGGAAAACATGTTTTCCTTATTATTTCTCCTTTCATCGCTTGGATAAGAAATTAAAATGTGACTTCTACAAAATTAAGCATTAAGTATGCACTAGATTTCTGTGGGTTCTTATGTTTTTTGTTTTATACTCTTTTCCCTACTCTTTTTCTTCTTCTATCCAGGAGCAGAGCTTTGTCTCATCTGAAATTTGTTATTTGATATTTTAGCCCATTTTGAACAAGATGCGATTGGATTTAGATGTGTTTTGATGCTTGATATTATTTTTTCTAAATTTATTTTGAAAAGCCATTCCAGCATCCGAATGCCAGCTCCATAGATTTACCTCGAGGCTTTGCTCCATCCATGAATATTCAGGTAATGTTATATGTATTCTATGTCTGTGAAGACTGTTTATTAGCTCAACCCTTAACGTGTTTTCCCCCTTCATGCCAGCTTCGTCCTACCATTCAAGCTCAGCAGCCTGAGCAAGTTGCTCGTTTGGCTTCGCAAAATTTTCAATGTGTTGGGAGAGGTGGCACAACGATAAACACTGGATTTCCACCTCAATCTTATGCGCCTCAGTTATTACAACCAATGCACCATTCGCTTGAAAGACATAGCCAACCAAATCAGGTGCAACATGTGACACTAGGACATCCGTCTCTAATTTCACAGCCAAATGTGTCAATTGCCTCTGGTACCTTCTTGCCGGAGCCTTGTGTACAAACTTCAGATATTAGTATGAATGGGGGACCTAGGGAATTCTTTCGGTATCCGGTAAGAAAATGAAGCGACTTTTGCAGTTTTATTTACAGAATATCTTGAGTTCCTAACTTTGTGAACAAACAGAGTGCCACACCTTTCGAACATCTGAGGGCACCAAGTCAAGCCACTGGACCAAGCAGTCATAGTCAGGCACAACAAAGAGAACCTATCAGTCAGGCTAATGCACCATTTTCTGTAATGAATCCAACATTTGAACATCCAAAGGTTTAGTACCATGTCTTTTATTGCAACTACCTTCTGTACTGTTTCTGGTTACAACATTAATCTATGTTTTCTTTTGCGCCTTGAAGGTAGTTTTTTCTCAACCTATACCTTCTCAAGAGGTTGTAACAGATTGGGTTGAGCATACCTCGGCGGATGGGCGGAGGTAAGAATTGTTGTCTTGTGACTTTTGTTTCTCATTTCATTCTCTTTTGTTTGCTAAAATATTTTACATCAAAGGAGATAACTGCCCCAGATATTTGAAATTGCTTTCATGTTTTTATTAGTGTAGATGATATTTTCCTTAGTAATTGGATTAATGGAACTGTTTGTTCTGTTTGAGGTTCTTTACTCTTTTATTTTAGCTTGCACTTTTTGATTCTTTGAATTCGGTAATAACTTACTTAATAAACTTGCCAATTCAGTTAAATGTAATGGTATGTGATCTGTTCACTCAGTGAACCTCTGTCTTACTTTCTTTTAGACAAATTAAACTTGCCAGTTCTTTTAAATGGAGAAAATTTTGCTTGCTTAATCATGAAATCATAGATAAAAATCGCAGGATTTGCTGGCTGGGCATTGGGCAACCACATTTCCTTTCTTTTTTTGTTGCTGAGGAGAAAGTGTTTGCTGTTTGTTGTTTTATTTTCTTGTCTCTATTTCCTGATGATTCACTGTCATGTACCTTTTGCAACCATTATGTATTTCCTAAACTAATTGTACATATCGTACTCATCATTTAACTTGTGAATGAATGATTTTAGTTCCATGTTCCCGGTGTAACAAGTATATTATTTCTGACGTTGAGTTTTTGCTTGTTATTAGATATTTTTTCAACAAGAAGACGAAGCAGTCCACTTGGGAGAAGCCTGTTGAGTTGATGACTCTATTTGAGGTGAGTTATTTTGGAAATTTATGTACTTAATATTAAACCTTTAAATCACCCAGGTCCTGTAAGCTTGCCATAGGATTTTTATAGCTGCATTGTCCCTCATCGGATTTTTAAAGCTGCATTGTACCTTGTCATTCCATGTACTGCTTATGAGTAACCATTTCACCGTGGTCGGAGGTAGACATTTAAGATGAATGTAAGATAAGTTAATATCTGAAATTTCCAATGGCGCAAGCTTGTGTATAGGTGGTAGGGTTACATAGTAGTGGCAACGTTGAAATGCTGTGGAGTTCTTACATTTTCTCATTTTCTGCTGACAAAAGTGATTAGAGACATAGTTCATGCCTGTGAAGAAGTTTTCTTAACCTAGATGAAGGCATATGGATGTAGACCTTTCAGTGTATATTTCTCATGGCGTTAAGATATTTTCAGCGAGAACAATTGTGATTATTCGTCATGGCTAATATCCAGTTTTTCTCTAGTTAACTGGACCGTTGTTTTTTCTCCCTTTGTTCTTTTGTGATCTGAAACAATGATAAACACAAAATTGTATAGGTGTATATAGCTAATGTATATAATGTGTATACGCTGTTACAGAGAGCAGATGCAAAAACTGACTGGAAAGAACATTCAAGTCCTGATGGAAGAAAGTGAGTGTGGGACGAAATGTCTTCTTTCATTAGCATGCAACTGATGAACAACTCTCTTTCTAATTTGATATGGTTGCAGGTATTTTTACAATAAGGTTACCAAGCAATCAACATGGACAATGCCTGAGGAGATGAAGGTTATTCTTAAGTCAATATATTGTCTCCTTGTCTGAGTTTCTGCTTTCTCTCTTCCAATGTATAAAATTTTAAATCTTTCCGCCAGAATGCTCGTGAACAAGCAGAAAAGGCATCTGTTCAAGGGCTTCATGCAGAAGGCGTTGTTGATGATCCTAAGGTGCTGTCTAGTTCTGATACAGCATCGACTGCAGCTCCGACTAGTTTACCAAGCCAAACATCATCTACACTTCCAACATCTGATACCAGTGAGAAACTAGCTCTTACTTCTGATTGGCAGCAGGTCGCTTCAGTCCCTGGAAGCTCTTCCTCGGTTGCAAATGTTGATCAAGTTCAGGCAATTGCAGATAAAACACCAGAATTGTGTGATACTGCAAAAACTGATAATCCTTCTGCCACTGTGATGATTAGTTCTGCTGCTACATTGTACTACGCAATTCTATCTCCTTTACGCTCTAGTTCCATTTTAGTGTTAGTTGTGAGAATCATGGGCTAAATAGTTTTGTACTAACTATCCGTGTAGGGTTGACAAGGAAACAGTATCAACCGAGAACAGTGGAAATGCAGATGACGTGTCAGCTAAAAACTCAAATGTACATGAACCTAAGCCATATTTCTTGTTAGCATACATTTGCTCTGTATCTGTTTATAATAATTGTTCATCTGCTCTCCAGCAAGGTAGTGGGGCTGGACCAAAAGAAAGCCAAAAAGATGTGGTGGATAGTGAAAGAGTTGACAGCCAGTCGGAAGGAAAACAAATTCATCAAGAGAATTTTTCTTATACCAACAAATCGGTATGATTGGTTTCATGTCCATGAGCATATTCCTGGTCTTATCCGTCTGCATCAATTAATGTTACTTAATCATATAGGAAGCTGTAGATGTCTTCAAATCACTTTTGAAATCTGTCAATGTTGGATCTGACTGGACATGGGAGCAGGTAATACAACTTTCCAATTAGTTGTTCTTTGAGCATGTCTCTGAAGTTTCACATGGTTCTGCCACAGGCCATGAGAGAAATAATTAATGATAGACGATACGGGGTTCTGAGGACTCTTGGAGAGCGGAAGCAAGCCTTCAATGAGGTTACTTCTTTTTACCACATACCCTACAAATAGCAAGATAATTTATCAATAGTTATGATGTTTAGGTGTAATACAGTCAAGTCCTCTTGAGGATTTGAACAGTATACTTAAGCAGTACATCTGGTCATAGATGTTAATTGCGCTTCGTTGGTACTTTTTTTTGCTGTGGTTCAGTTCTTAACTCAAATGAGAAAAGCAGCAGAGGAAGAAAAGATAGCCAGACAGATAAAACGATATGAAGATTTTAAAACGATGTTAGAGGTAAGTTTCAGATCTGCTGCTGTTTGATTTTTCTGCCTTTTCTTTTTGAGCAATCTCCGGCTACTCCATACCGCTGATCATTATATGGACATTGGTTACCAGGAATGCGTGGAGCTTACTCCTTCTACTCGGTGGAGGTTTGTTCTCCAGCATAATTCTGCTTCCTATTACCCCCTCTACGAGAACTCTTGCAGTGCGATTTATTTTGTGATATAATGTTCCTTCTCTAACCAGCAAAGCCGTGACTATGTTGGAAGACGATGAGCGTTTCAAAGTTGTTGAACGAGTAAAAGACCGTCGTAATATTTTTGAAGATCATATCAGTGATCTAAAGGAGAAGGTATGGTTAATATGCATGCATTTTTGACATTAGTTTTCTTCCGGCAAATTTCATTTAGTGGTCATTTGAGACTTCTTAATTATAATCAAAGTTGATCATTCACTTAAACCTGAAACGTGTTCATTGTTAACTATATACAAGTGTATACCCTCTCTCTATGTGCGTCTTTAGTTTTCCGAGGACCAAATATCAAATTGTTATAATTGTTATCAAATTGATTTGGGTTCTGTTGTTCTATATGTGGTTGATTCTGTTAGGAGCGGGTGAAAGCTCTTGAGGATCGCAAGCGGAACATAACTGAATACAGGAGATTTTTGGAATCTTGTAGTTTCATCAAGGTGATTATCTCTCCGTGTTTCTTATCTCCCACGCTATCTTGTGCTAATTCATTCTGACTCTTTTCTTTCTTCAGCCTACTAGCCAATGGCGCAAAGTCCAGGACCGCTTAGAAGCGGATGAAAGATGTTCACGTCTTGAGAAAATTGATCAGCTAGAAATCTTTCAGGTCAGTTCATTGATCATGAACTATCTTCCAATTTCACACTCAGCTAATCTATCGTGTTGTACAGGAGTATCTGCGGGATCTGGAAAGAGAAGAAGAGGAGAAAAAGAAGATACAAAAGGTATATATATATATATATATACTAGACCTCCTTCGTGTTTGACATGAAATATCTCTTTGCTTGTATATCTGTCATTCATGGCAACAGGAGGAACTAAAAAAAGCAGAGCGAAAGCATCGTGATGAGTTCCGTTGTCTGATAGATGAACATATTGCTACAGGAGAGCTTACTGCCAAAACTAGTTGGCGTGATTATTTAACAAAGGTTAAAATGAAATAGAGTGTGACACAGAATAACTATTTCAGTTCGAGTATTTAACTAACAGTTTTGATACAAAACGGATACTGCATCTCAGGTCAAAGATTTACCGGTATATTTAGCAATTGCATCGAACTCCTCTGGAGCTACACCAAAAGACTTATTTGAAGATGCTGTTGAGGATTTGAAAAGAAAGGTACTAGATTCTTTTCATTTGTCGTGTTATTTTGATATTTTCTAAGATATTATGAAAGCAACGGTAATGTCAAAATGATGAGTCAAACTGCTATCGGGTCTCTACACTATTTTTGTTTCGTAAAAGATGGTAATTTGTGTTATAATGTAGTTATAGTAGCATTATTTTACTGGTTTGTGGTTCTTCTATTTCCGTTTCTTGTTTGATTTTTCCTTTCTTTTTATGGCCCTTAACTCCTGAGTTAAGCATCTGTTACATATACGTGTTTTTGTCTTCACAGTATCAGGAGCTCAAATCTCAGATAAAGGACGTATTGAAGCTGAGAAAGGTACGTGTTTTCTTTCTGTAAGCATATGGATTTGATAGGTGTTTTGATCTTGCTTTCCTTCCAGGTAACGTTATCCGCTGGATCAACGTTTGATGAGTTCAAAGTCTCGGTTTCTGAGGGCATCGGTTCCCCATCTATTCCTGACGTTAAACTGAAGGTCTGTAATTATTTTCCTCGACTTCTATTTTTTCATGGTAGTTCCAGATGATGTGGGAAGATGTAATAATTTCTTCTTGCTTTTCAATACATAGAATTGTACAAAGGAACCCACTTCACTGCCACCATACTCTTTATTAAGCTTCAGAGTCTCATTGGATATGACTTCAAACTATTTGTTTTGGTGATGCTTCTCAGTTAGTGTTTGATGATTTGCTGGAAAGGGCAAAGGAGAAGGAAGAGAAGGAAGCTAGAAAACAGACTCGGAATACTGAGAAATTGGTGGATATACTTCGCTCCTTCAAGGTATTGTATTTATTTGTCTGGTCCTATATAATAATTTGTGATTGGTGAAATTCTGGTTGTGGTTTTGTTTCTGCCCTGATTATTAGTTTTGATGCAGTATATAACTGCCTCTTCATCCTGGGAGGATTCTAAGCATCTTGTTGAAGGTAGTGAAAAGTTCCGGTACGTTTTTCAGTTACTCTAACCCTTCATGGTCGAGCTCATGACTGGATCCTGCTTTTCTTCTTTATTCCACATCCTTCTCAAATCTCAGGAGAATTTGGTCCTTTCTAGTATGATTATATAATAACCGTTGAACAGTTATTTTAAATCTAATCATCAGTTATATGTTTCTTTGTTGTATGCAGTAATATAGGAGACGAGAGCTTCCGGAAGAAGACATTCGAGGACTACGTGTTACACCTCAAAGAGCAAGCAAAAAGGATCAAACAGAACAAGAAGGTAATGATAGTTTGTGTCTATGGAAAAAGTTTGCACGAGTCAAGCATCTTAACAGTTTTGGTGATACTTTTTCAAGATACTTCGTTTAGTATGTCAATCCACTGAATATGTAAGAGAGTTCGGACGGATTTGAGAGTCTATATGCTTTAGATGATTGAGCTATTACGTAGGGATGGCATGTCCCCAAGCTCACAGACTTTTTTATAACTACAGGAACATGTTAGAGAGGAACATGACAAGGGGAATGATAGATACGGAAGAGAGAAAGACAGAGTGCGAGAAAGAGATAATGAAGATCATCGTAGGAGAGGTTCAGTTGATAATCACAACCATGATGTGAACGAACTCCATGGTAAAGAACGTAGAAGATCAGGAAGAGATAGTTACAGTAGACATCGAGAAAGACACACTACTGTGCAGGAATTTGAAACCGACCATTACAAAGAATCTCATAAAGCTGGTGGTGGGCATAAGAAATCAAGACAAGAGGTACACTTCTTCACTTTGTTGCCTTATCCTCAAGAGAGAGATGCATGAAAATCGAAAAATAACAGTAGTGTAGAGGAATATATTTTTGTCTAGGTTTTCGACAGTCTGAAAAACCTTAGTGTAGACTATTGTATAGTATGATTTGATAACTCACTCGGTGATAATTAACTTAGTATTTGGATTCAGCAATTGGCTTTGTACAAGTGCTCCTTCTGAATTCAGTTTTGAGAGAGGTTCCATTAGCTACATATAGTTGAATCAAGTTTCTTACATCTTTGGTGTTTATGCAATTGCAGCGAGGGGAAGCAGAGGACGAAAGCAGGAAAAAGCGGCGTAGAAATGAGAAAGAGAGTGAGCAAACAAAGGGTGCGGAAAAGGAAGAGGAGCTTGAAGATGGAGAATGTGGTCGGTATTGAAAACCTTATGTGACATCATGTTTGGAGATCTTGAGGCTTTTAACTTACTTGGGTTGAGTTTCTCATTATAAACTCTTTTAGTTACAAACAAATGATCATGTCGGGCTACAGCTTTAACTTAATGAGAAATTGATGGGTAGGAGTTTTACCTTTTTTTTATAACATTTTGTTGTATAACCGTTTTTGTTGAATACATTGGTCCGGTGGCGTTGTCAAGGTTCAGTTTGGTCTAAAATTCACTTGGGAGGACTTTTGCAAAATCCTGATATGAAGATAATACAAAGCCTCATAACTTTTCAACTTAACTAGAAATGCTCAACAAATTGAATTGTTTTATTTGAAAAATGATAAGCGTCACAGAATTTTGGTCATGTGTGATGTGACCATCAAATAAAAAATGAAATTAATATTTTAAATGACCATGAATTCGACATGATTAGGGTCTTCTTCCATATAATATACGTTAGTTTGTCTTTCTAGCTTTCTTTTTTATTATTTTATTTGTCAACAGCTTTCTTTTTATTATATTTGCATGCTTTCCAACCGTTTCATCGATATCAGGTATATAGAAATAGAGAACCCCCCCGGCCCCTGTCGAACCTACATTGCTCAAGAAGGTGGCAAGTGCCCCCATAAAAAAAAATCAAAAATTTTTAAGTATGCCTAAATTTTAATTACTCATTTTATTAAATAACATGTTCTAGATATATTTTAAAGTTTATATAGGATTTGCCCCCACTAAAATAAAATTCTACATTCGCCACTCCCCCATAAAAAGGTGGCAAGTGCCCCCATAAAAAAAAATCAAAAATTTTTAAGTATGCCTAAATTTTAATTACTCATTTTATTAAATAACATGTTCTAGATATATTTTAAAGTTTATATAGGATTTGCCCCCACTAAAATAAAATTCTACATTCGCCACTCCCCCCCCCCATAAACTAAATAAATGCTTTCTATGTTAGGGTATCGTCATTTAAAATAGGCCATGTGAACGCAGACGAAGAAGAAAAAATGATAAGATATTCCATTTTTGTTTTGTGTGTAAATGTAATATAGATCGTATATGTGATTGTTGACAAAAAGCCAATGTGATAAATGATCGCCATCAGCAGTAGTTGACTAATCAAAATGTTACAAAGTCAAAGAAGAACAACCAGTGGCAAATCTCGAAAATATCTCAACCTCAAAGCCCTGTTCCCTCACGTTATGTTCCATAAATACCAAAACAGGTCTCGAGGGTAAAAGAACTCCAAGTAGTAGCGTAACGTTCGTTTTTACACTAAAAACATCAAACACACAAACGCAGGGATATGTCTTGAGGAGCCTGCAGCTACAAAATCTCCAGTCCTTGTGAAAAAAAAGAGAAAATCAAGAAGAAGTAGTGATGATGGGGTTACACTTGGAGAGCTTGGTGGAGACAATAAAGTCAAAGGTGAGTTCGCTGAGGAGGAAGAAGAAGAATAAACCATACATAAAAATGGATAAAAGCAGCAGCGTCAGGGTCGAGATCCGTCGTAAGAAGACCAGAGATCTCATCAATAAGACCTTGAAGGTTGCTGATCGTCCTGGCCAACGAGCTCTTTGCTGATAATAATACCTTTTTTTTTCTCTGTTTCTTTTTGCATATCGTTTCTGTTTCTTCGTTCTGAGATTCAGGGAGATTTGTATTCTGGATATCAAGTATATAAACATATAGTTTCTGGAAATAAATAGACAGAAAAACAATATAAGATGGATAAAAATAGTAAAAAAAAAAGATTTGTTTGGTGAGAGATTCTTGAATCAGTCTTACTTCTAAGGAACCGGTTTGCAGAGTGTTAACACCAGTGAGGATTTGCTGGAAAGATAAAACAGAGTTTTCATTATATAAACTCGAAGATTGTCTTCTACATTAGCAAACTAAGACATGCAAATCCACACCAAGAGACATAACACAATGGAGCTTTAAGAAGATAACAAAGCTTCGACCTTTGCAATCTGTTCTTCCTCGTTGGCCTTAGCAGGACTCTTGTTCGCTTCCTCGTACAAGTCATGGTCCCATTTCTTCTCAGCCTTTGTCCAGCTTCCCTGAAACCCACTTCGTCCACCGTTTCTGTTTAATCCCTCTCTATCAGTTCGATAACTCTGTCTGCTTCCATCATCTCTGTTCCACACCCTGTCTCTTCCCGTTGCTGGTCTCTCATTGTTGCTCCTCCAGTTTCTCTCATTCTGTCTGCGACTGTTTAGATTCGTGTCTTTTGCCTCCTCAGTTCTTGTTCTGTCTGCGTCGTTCCTAGATTCCTCTGGAAGAGGAATCTTCTTCTCCCTGAAGGCAGGCCGTTTCCTAGAAAGTGTTCCTCCTTTGGTGTCGTCACTCTCATGGAACCTGTCGTGTCGCCAAGTGCTTTTGTCTTCGTCTCTACGATCATCTCCAGCTCTTCGATTGCTCTGATCTCTTGAACCTCTCCAGGATCCTCTCTCTACAAACATTTAAAGCAAGTAAAAATGTTCATAAGACTTGAACATAACTCTTTTGCCAGTACATAGCTCAAGACATATAGTTTTGAAATGAAAAAAAGAGTTATTTTGAGGAGAGTTACCAGAAATGGGTCTTCTGTCATCTCTCCCAGTAGTACGACGATCATCATGCTGTTATAAGACACACGCACAGGCAAGCCAAAGATAACATATATATATCTGAGCATTTGAAGGCAAATTCATATAAAAAAGTTTTAGCCTTTTCAACTTAGCAATGCAAGACTCAAAAAGATTCAATCTACTTGATTAATAGTAATTAGTATCAAATGGAAGACGATAAAGAGCTTCTGAAACCTGATCATATGGTCTAGAACGAGGACGTCCTTCTGAGAGGTGGGGAGCTTGTTTGGTCATCTCAGAGTGCTTCTTTTCATCGTCTTTTCTCAATCTCTGAGTATCAGATTCCAGTGGGGCAGCATCTCTCAGGGACTGACGTGGCTTCTTATCTGTCTCAGTACTAAGAACTCCTTCTGCTTCAGGTTTTCCATCTCTCCTAGACCTTTTAGGGCTAAAGATCAAAACATATATATCATTTGTGGAACTGTAATTAATAATTAATAACACAAGAAATAATGGATTACAAGCTCGAGTAAGAGTGATTTTGGTTATGAGGAAAGGCACTCCACTAAGTTTCTCAATAAGTGTTAACAAACGTTACTCAACTATTTGAGTTAAAAAGAGTGGAGTTCTGAGTTTGTGTTATCTTCCACAATTTTAGTCAATCTATTGGTTAATACAATAACAATCACTCCCAACAACAACAAGAACAAATGAATAAGTAATATTTCGACAACGATCCGTCTGCATTTTCGATTTTTCTAGACAGAAAAAAAGAAGAAGAAAAAGACACGAGATTCGTCCTTGTCGACTTACTTCAAAGCTAAAGATAAGAGAAGATGAGGTAAGGGAGTGAAGAAGCAGACCTGGATTCGCGATCGAATCTAGAACGATCTCTTTTAGAGTCTGAATCTCTGCTCTCTCGCCTTGACATTGTTGTTACCCTTCTTCTTCCCCTGCAACTATTGTTTTTTTTTTGTTAGGGCTTATACTCTCAAATTGATAAATCTCCTCACTATTTCAGTTTACCCCTTATCTTTCTTAAAACTTCATAAGAACCCCGTAAGTTACAAAATATGTAGAAAACTCCAGTTTCCAATGCTAATTTAAACCGAAAATTACGGTTCTCTGGTTGGTCTGTCTTGCCGCTTGAATTGATTACTACCATGAGATAACATTCAAACGTTAGTTAAAATTTAGAACCATAAACGTTTACTTTTTTAGCTCTTTTACAATCAGCTAAGTAAAGACTCTTGTTTAAAATGATTTTAGATAATAGGCTCATTTACTAACACAAAACAAGCAGACTAAACTTATATGCATTTTCAAAATCTTGCGAAGAGGTAAAAAATTAACAAAGATGATAAAATTATGTATGTAAGTTTCCAATTTGCTCTGTTTTATAATTTAACTATATGCAAATAGTAAAGGGATTATTCTCGAGAATACAAAACCCCCCCCCATAAATATCGTGTTAGTGTACAAAGATGTTGGCAAGAGACATGATTCTTCCCAATATGTTTGGTTGGTTTTGCTGAGTCATTCAAGCAAGCGCTTCTGCTTCCACCACCCGATGGCACCAACATAAAGGAATATGCTCCCTATAAAACCTCCAATCACAGTCCACATGAATCTCGTGGGACCTGCTTTCTCATCCTTGAACAGCTCTATCGTAATGTTCATCCCGAACACTCCAGCTACAGCGATAAATGCACTCATCACCAGAGTTGCTGTCGTTAGCATCACACCCATTTGCAGAAGATGATTCTGTTTGTCATCTAACATTATGTTGATGTAGTCCTCTGTATCATCCACGTACTCCCTTAGCTTTTTTTCCCCCATTCAAACGACACAACAGCACAATTATGTGTAAGATGAACATCGACAAGAGTGTGTCTGATAAGTAAAGTAATAAGGTAACTGTGTATACTACTTACTGTTGATAGTTTGTTGAGTGTACCATCGATCTGCACGAAATATGCTTCCAGAAGCATCTCAAGCTCTTCCACGTCGAACTTGTTGGTCATGGCACTACGAGTTGAGCTCGTATGAGTCCCACGGCTGTTTCTGCTAAGTGCGCTATGAGTACTCATAAGAAGATCGTGGGCATCATCATGTGCTCGAAGGTAGCTTTCATCTCTGTTAGACTCCGAAGCAAATTCAGCAGGAACCCTGGCAGATTATGGTAAAAAAGAAGGTGTTAAACTTAAATCATAACAACTAGAGGTAGTGAGTTCATAAAGTCTGGTACATGCCTGTCATCTTCGTCTCCTTCAGGAAGATCAACCTCGACAGTGTCACTCTCATTCATAGAGGAAGTTGACGAATTCTCAAGTTTCTGAGCTAACTTCTCTGTCAGATACATCTCAGCCATATCTTCATCATCGTCTAGCAGATGTTCTAGTTCGTCCCTGACCTAGAAAAAGCGAAGAACGAGAAGGGTTTAGTTATAGATCTCGGCTAGAATCACAACTGAGAGAAAACAAGAAGTGTATTAATCATAAGATCAAGGGAGCTAGTTAAAGTCTGATTCTCAACACCTTCTGAACACGTCCAGTTATTGCAACAAGCCTGCTCTTAATCTGTCGAACCCGCTCCAAGTTGAGGGTACTAATCTTCGAAGTAAGCTTATCCAAGGCTGGATGAGCCTCTAACTCCAATCTTACGGCCTACATTAAAGAAGAATGAATGGAAAATTGGAAACTCCACACAAAAATAGAAACAAAGTGATCTTCGTATTAGAGCCTTAACAATAAGTACCTACCTCACTTTCTAAACTGCTGGAAGCAGCTTCAAGACAAGCTTCAAGAGCAACAAACTCAAAAGGAAGAACCTTGGATCCATCTTGATTCTCAAGACTTTGCTTCGCATCCTTCTTGGCTTCATCCCCTTGTTCCCCATCTCCTCCTCGCGCTTGATCCATACTCCTACGAGTCTCTCCCTCATAGTTCTCTTCCTCCTTCACACAACAGATACAAAAGAAAGCCGAGAACGGTCAGCAGTAAGTAACTAAAACTTGACAACAATCATCATATTCAAAATAACATCTCACCATTGCACACATCAAAAAGAGTCAATCATACCCTCAAACACAACATCATAGTCCCATTGTCTTCCATATAACACGACCTCCATATTTACCTACAACCCTAAATTTCAATTTCTCAATAGAGTTCTTACACCAAACCAATGTTCTAAAAATCTATCTAGTTCCCAGTCACACCAAACCAATGTTCTAAAAATCTATCTAGTTCCCAATCACACTAATCAACTATTCCTTCCGTTAAAATTTTAGTTGTCGTTCAGGTTTTTGCACACAGATTAAAAAAACATTTAATTTTACATATTTTCAAAATAAAAACACACTAACCAATTTAAAGCATATAAAGTTAATAAATTTTGCATTCAAACTATAAAACAAATTCTACTGCGGAGGGAGTATAAAACAATACAATTAGGCATAAATTTTCCAAACCCTAATTTCTACAACTACCTTAGGCTTAGTAGCGTGATAATGACAAAGAATCCGCCTCTGCAACTCATCAATAAACGGCGCAACCGAAGGATCCTTCGAATTAAGCAACAAAACCTCCTGCGCGGTAATAATCGCCTTAATATGCTCTAAATTGATGACAATCGCTCTCTCTCTACCCAAAACTGTCGACGGATACGACAACAACGGATCCAGAATCCGAAGATCTCGCGCCGGTAATCCCGTTCGACGCATGATCGCGTGTTTTCCAACTTCCGTCGTCTGCGCCTGCCCTCTCGAGCAGAGGACTAGCCATGTCCGAACGCCGACGCCTTTTTTACGGGCGCCGGCGGGATACGTCGGAGTCGGTTGGCCGGTGATTGGTGTTGAGGGATTCGTTTCGAAATCTTCGGGTCTAGGGCCTCTCATGGTTGCGGATGACGGTTGTGATCAGATCGATTGAGCAGTTCGCTGGGGAATGTTGAGTTGGATCATCGGGAAATTTTGGGAATTATATTCGGCTCGACGACAAAGAAAAAATAGAAAAAAGGCAAACCGGTGAGAATCGGTTGAGTAAAACCGGTTTTATGGTTTAGCTTCTGATTCCAATTTTTGTAGTACATTATTGCAGCTGCGGCGATCGATGGAGTCTTTTTGGATGCGATTCGGTATCGTAAATGAAGAGTGAAAAGACTTCATGGTTTTGTAAAATTAGTAAACAAGTCTTTCTAATTTTTAGGTGGTATCAAAGCCAAATTATATGCCTATGGAGGGTTTATACTATTGAGAATGATGGTTCTAATTAGAGTTACTACGTGATTTTCCCGTGCTCATGCACGGGTATGAGTATTTATCAAGTAAATATATTGTGGTAATATATTGTGATATATTCTAATTTATTAATTTAGATAGATATTTACTTTTAATTATAAATTAATTTATAATTTATATGTATAACTTATATTATATTATTTTAATTAGATATACGATTTAAGAGATATTATATTTAATCAGTTTGTTTTTTTTTGTCAATACTCGATTTGATTACACTTGTGTATTTTAGATTACATCTATTTTTCTGAATTCAACTATAATATTTTTCTTCTAAACAACCTAAAACTTTGATTATTATTGCATTTAGATTGGTTATCATCTTATATATGTAAATATATTTTATTAAGATCAGGTATAATTTAATATATATTATGCTTATAATGAAATAAAAATAAACTTAAATTTTGATTCAAATTTACATAAATGAATATAACAATAATATATGTGAAGTCTCATTCATATATATAAATTTTACAAAAGAAAAACTGAATTATAACAGTCGGTTAATAATTATTTTTATATATTGATATTTTGAGTCATCATGTAATCTATATATATAAAAATAAATAAATAATTATTCTAAAATTATATGTTCTTGTTGTAGTTAGATCTTTTATTTTGGACATAAGTTAGATTCTTTCTGTTACTCGTTTTGTGAGTATATTGAGTTATATATAGTTGCTAATTCATATAAAATATAATTATTTTTGTTCTAATTAAATCAACTTAAATTAATTTTATTTATCGCTTAATGCAAGCATTTTTATAATATTTTCAATAATTGGGTATGTGTTGATTTTTAAAAAATATTAAAAAATAAAGTGACGATCAATAAGAATTTACATACATAAATATGTGTATAAATATAAACTTTTAAAATTTCATGAGCACATATTAATATTTACAATAATTAAATATTTATAAATTCTAAATTATTTTATACCTTAGATTTCTTAAAAGGTAAACTAAAACATTGTTTAAACAATCTTAAATATGAGAACTTAGATTTACTTGAGTATTTTGATTATTTACATATTAAGTTCCATAAACACTAAAAAAACATAAAATTAAAAAGCAAACTAAATATTAAAAAGAATTTTTAATAATGATAAAATATTATATTTCCATTTCACTAATAGTGTATAGTGATACGCTATTTAAAAGGATTTTGAAAATATTTGATCAAAATATTTATTTTTGTGAAAAAATATTTTTACTCCCTTTTTAATATCTCTTAAAATAAACACTAAACATGTTATTTTAGGAAAATTTCGAAAAATATTAAATTTCGTTTATATATAAAGATTTATATTTCCTAAATATTTCCTTTTTTATTTATGTGTTTTAAGAAAGTAAACTTATATTTAAAAAAAATAAGTAAAAACTTATTATGAAAAAAAGAAATACATTATTACTATCAATAAAATAAACACTAAACATGTTATTTTAGGAAAATTTCGAAAAATTATTAAATTTCGTTTATATATAAAGATTTATATTTCATAAATATTTCCATTTTTATTTATGTGTGTTTAAATAAGTAAACTTATATTAAAAAATTAAGGAAAATCTTATTATGAAAAAAAGAAATACATTATTAATATCAATTAAATAAACACTAAACATGTTATTTTAGGAAAATTT